CCAATTACGGTGTGTTTACCATGTGCCAGATACTGTACTAAGCACAGAAAACACATTAACACACTTCACCTTCACAAGAACCCTTAACATACATATTATTAACTACATGCAACAGAAAAGGAAACATCCCATATGGTCACACAACAGGTCGACAGTGAATGCCTGGCTTGTGGAAGGGGTGGGTAAAGGGTCTGCTCTCGGGTCCGCCGTCTACACCAGGTCCTTACCTCCCCTAGGGGTGATTGTAGAGGGAAAAATAGATGCTGGCCAAGAAGGGGGAAGGGAATCTTTATTAGCGTTTTTCCTGATTCTGAAAGAAAACATGTTTATCTTAGATGATTGGGAAAGTGCAGAATAACAAAAGGAACTCGGCAGTCCCCTATCTAGGATGTCTTTAGGAGTGTGGAGCTGGCCCTGTGTCTCCAAACACCTCCCCCATCAACCTCCCCCATCAACCTGCTACAGACACTGCAGTTTTTCTTGAATGATTATTTCTCCACAATGAAGCCCTTTTTTGGCCTCTCTTAAAACACGAGTGCCTCACATTCTGGTCCATGAACAGCTCCCTGGGACTGGTGATGAGGTTCCAGCCTTCGGGGAACAAACTCCTGCTTAGGAAGCACAGGACTGCACAGGGAAATGGGAAATACCCAAAATGGGGCCCGGGGACAGCAGGGAAGTGCAGGAAGCAAGGCCCTTCTTCAGCATGAGGGTGGAATCGATCCTCTTTCCAGAATTTCTCGAGAAGGAAGGATGTCCAGTAGTGGTGTAAGGACACCTCCCCTAAGGACTCATAAGCCAAGGCTGGGACAGAAATAAAAGGAGAATAAGAGCACAAAGGATCCTCAGAATGGCCTCTGGAGGCGGGGCACTTTAGGGGCGACAAAGGGAGTGATCGGAGTGCAAACAGGCGTGGAACAGCAAGGAGGAGGCAGAGCAGAGCCAGCTCCAGGGAGGCACATCAGAGCCACAGAGAGCGAGAAGCACAGACTCCACACTTCTCCCCTGGAGATGGCAGGCACAGCTCTGCTTCCTAGGGGACCACGGGAGCCACGTGACAGCAAGGACAGGGGCAGCCTGGAGCTTGGACCCAAGGAAGAGGCCCTTGGCTGACACAGCCCTGTGTCCCTTTCCAGGACTCCCTAGCCTGTCCCCAGTGCCTTCTCTAGAGTGGCCAACAGGAGGGATGGGGAGCGCTTCCCAGCAATACTCTAAGACTGTCAAGGAAGAGAGGCAGGAGCAACGGGAAACCAAGGCATGTCCTCTCTGCAGGCCCCTCCGGGCGAATCCCCTTCCTCCAAGCGCTGGGAAGCTGCCTTCTTTCTCCTCTCACCCTCATCCCTTGTCACGGATATGACCTCTGTCTCTCTGTGAGCCCCCAACCCCAGGGAAATAAAGATTCAATCTATCCTCTCCCTCCCAAGTCTCACCCATCCAGGCAAACATTGTCCCATACATGTAATCCTAAAACACACATAATTTTGCATTCTGTTTTTTATGTATAATAAATTACTTATAAACACTGTATGTATACTTCAATGTAACAAATTATATGGAAAAAGCAGAATGCAAAGTTATGTGTGTCCTAGGATTATAATAAATGACTTATAACCAATGATCCCAACCATTTGGCTGTATTTCTATATAGTCTTTGCTGTGATTTTCCAGGCTTTTTTTTTTTTTCCTATTCAATGGTCCCTTTTAATCATTGCACAATTCCTCATGGAATAGACAGACCCAATTTGCTGAACCAGTTCCCAAAGGCCAGATGTTTACATGGTTTCTGATTCTTCACTGGTATAGGGGACCCAGCTGTCTAGGCATTTTGTTTTGTTTTCTGAAATTTGATGTACTAACATTCTTAGAGAAGTAATTTCTCTGCCTCCCCTCCTGTCCCCAGGGAGTACCAGACTCTGCCCATGTCGCCACCTCCCCCAGGAGAGAAGTCTATGACAGGTTGTTGGGGGGCTCCCTCATTCATTCATTCATTCATTCTTTCTTTCCTCAGATGTTATTGAGCAAGGCCACAGCTGGGGGTACCACTCCCTGGAGGAAGACGATGGTAAGTAAGTGGGAAATAATAACCTAAGAGGATCTGTGCTCTGGTCAGAGGATGGTGATCTGGGAATATAGAGGGGCTCCTAATCCTGACATCAGCCTCCCAGGGGATACACAGTCTAGGCTAACAAAGGCAGAAGGGGTAGACGACAGCCAGGTAAGTAAACACGGGTGTCCAGGAAGAGAGAAATAACTGAGGCCAACGCCCAGGCAGGAGCGTGCAACTCTTCAAAATCTCTGAAGGCTCCCAGTGTGCATGGAGCCCAGCAGGGTGAGGTGGGAAACTGTAGGAAAGAGACTGGGGGAAGGGAGCAGGCGCCAAGAGGCTGTAAGCCACAATAAAGGCTTTGCCATTCCCTCCAGGGCACTAGGGAACCATCGAAGCTTCTTAAAAGAGTGACTTGATCAAATTTAAATTTTAATAAACTCACTCTGCCCTCTCAAGTTCTCTCCCTGGCAACATCTTGGGCACAAGGGCAGTTCAGTAGGGCATCAGGGAGTCAGAGATGGTGGGAGACATAGGGGAATCATTGTGGGATTGAGAAGAGAGCAGGGGCCCAGCCAGTCTTCTGATGAAGAACCCCTGTGAAGGGCACAAACCAGGCAACTGCAGGACCCTGAGCCAGGATGCCGTTTGACCCTAGCAGCTCTGAGGGCAAAGGTCCTGGATCTCGGGCAGGCTGGTTCATCCCTGAGCACCCTGTTCCCGCCCCAAGTCACAGGATCAAAACTGTGCAACCAACCTCAGGGCTGCGCTGCCTTGGAAACTCAGGTTTCTATCCCCAAGTCAGGCCAGCCCTGCTCCTCCCTGTGCAGGGTTGCCATGGTAACCATCTGAGGCAGGGAGATTCTCGCTGAGGCTGCAGAATGGCCCTAATCCTGCCTGAGCTGGGGAGGGGCAGGGAGAAACAGGGTGTTTCCTGGTATTCCCCACCCACAGCGAGTCCCTGGCTCCTCTCACTTCCCACGATAAAAGGCCAAGGGGCCACAGGGCTTAGGAGAGGGGATGAGGTTGGGTGGGGAAACAAGCCCTGTTGAGTGTACAGCCTTGTCCCTTCCCTGGGCCCTTCCCATGGGCCCAGCCCCTGACCATGGCTATTTGCTAAGAGGGGCAGGATTCACTGCACCCTTTCTCAAATGCCAGAAACAAGATCCTCAATAGCCCTCCTGCTGGGGATAGCCTTAGAGCAATAATAAAAATGCCTACGAAGTATTGGGTGCTGACTTAGCACAGTACCCAGAGCATCACACACACAGTCTCATCAAGCACTCACCACAGGGCCAGGAAGTACACAGTACACCTCTCTCTCTCTCTCTCTCTCTCTCTCTCTCTCCCCACCCTCCCCGCTTCTTTCTTTATTCCTCTCTTTCTTTGACAGGGTCTCACTCTGTCACCCAGGCTGGAGTGTGCAGTGGCTCAATCTCAGCTCTCTGCAGCAGCCTCCACCTCCTGGGCTCAAGTGATCCTCCCACCAGCACTTACAATCACACTTGCCTAATTTTTTAAGGCTTTTTTTTTGGAGAGATGAGGTCACATTATATTGCCCAGACTGGTCTCGAACTCCCAGGCTCAAGAGATCCTCCCACCTCAGCCTCCCAAAGTTCCGGGATAACAGGCATGAGCCACCTTGCGCAACCAATACAACTTCTTTTTTCCCATTGTAGTGACATGAAAACCAAGGCTTCAAGAAGCAACTCATTGTCCCAGGTCACTCAGTCAGCAAGCATTGTGTCTAATGAAGGCCTCATTCAGTGCCAGCACCCTCTAAAAGTCATCGATGGATGATTGTCCACCAGCTACCTGCTAGACCCTTCCTCTGATGGGGAGCTCACTGTCTAGAAGAGCAGCCCTTCTTATTGTGGGGGAGCAAATAAGAGCAGAAGCCAGCCTCCCTGAGCATGGCTCCCTTAGACCCAGGTGAGCCCCAGAGGCAATGCCTTCATCCCGCACCATCCTGGAATAGCATTCAGCCGCTATAGAAGCTCTTCCACACAGAGCTGTCAGATGGTTGATTAATTGATTGATTGGTGTTTGGGGCTCATTCTGCAGCCAGACTTTGGGCTTAATTGGTGATCAGGGTCAGGGCTTAGTCAATGGTAGAGGCCAGGGGTTGCGTACTCAGCCAAGGGCAAGGTTACCATCTGTGCCTGGATCAGAGATTGTGAACAGACTTTCTTCCATTCCTTTCCAGGGTCATGCTGCAATCTTGGCCTCATTAAAATATGATTCTCACCAACCAGCTGGGCCCATCTGGTTTCTTATTAATCCAGAAGTAAGCTAGAAGAAGCAGCCTTGTGGGGAGTGAGCAGCCTTGGATTAAAGAGCTTGCCAGGCATGCCGTCGCCTCCCATCTCTGCTGTGGCCTTTGGCCCCTCCTCACTGTGGCCAGACCACAGGGCTTCGACTGGTGACCAAGCCATGCTTCCTGTGGGTCCAGAGGGGAGGCAGGTGGGAGGAAGAGCTGAGAGTAAAGGAAGGGCTCTGCAGGGGAGAGACGTGGTACGGCAGAGGAAGTGTGTGTCATGAGGTCATCCAAGATCCAGCTATGCCCAGCCGTCGCACCTGCCTCTTCCCTTCAAGGGGACAGGTCTCATTTCCATTCTACATGCTTTACAAAGCTGTTCATACTGCATAAAAGCCACTTTCATTCCAGTTCCACACAACCAAATTCTACTTCTCATCCCCCTTCCTTCATGGCCCATCTCAGGGGTCACCTCCTTCATGAAGCCTTTCCCGATTCCTTCAGCTGAAAGAACCACTCCCTGTTCTGATTTACTTGTTAGAACTATTTGTGGGCAGGTCTAATCATTCCTCTCAGTCTGTGAGCTCCTTGAGGGCAGAACTCTTTTTTATTTCATGTCTCTGTCCCCTATAATACCCAACTCTTACACATGCAACAAGTTTAAATATTTATTTATTTGACAACAGACTTTGTGGATAGAGAAATGCATTTATTGATGAAAGGATGATGTCAGAGTCACATGTTGAATTCCCCAGGAAGGACATCCTAAGCCATAGTTAGAGTGCAGGATGTTTAATAAGGAGCGTGCTGGGGATCACCTGTACAAGGAAAATGAAGGAAGCAGGAGCAGGCAGAGGGAAATTCAAGCTGCAATGCAGGCCCCATACCATGAGAGCTCTGGAGCAAGAACAGCCCTGCAGAGTTGTCCTGATGCACCAAGATGATCAGGCCCTTATACTCTCACAACGACAACATTGAATGTAGGCTTCCTTGGGAAAGGGCTTAATCTTGGGCAAGGCAGCTCTCTTCAACTAAGACAATCCCTGAAGAAACTGACCACTAAAAGCTCCTTGACACCAGCACTCCTAGCAGTTGGAGCTACAAGTCCTCCATCACAAGGGGGTCTGAACAGCACATCACAGTGTCCACCACAGCTAGAGATGATAGATGACAGATGATGGGTAAATGCATGGTTGGCCAGATGGATGGATGGATGGATGGATGGATGGGGAAAGGATGGATGGATGGGGAAAGGAGGGACACATAGATGTGAATGGTGATTAGATAAATGGATACTTGGATGATGGATGGATGAATGGATGAATAAATGGATGGGCGGATGCACAGATGCATGGATGATGGATGAATTAATGGATTCATAGATACATGAATTCATGGATGATGAATGGTTGGGTGGATGACTGACAACAGATGTATGGATGCATGAATAGGTAATGCTTTCCCAACATTTCATGTCATTTGAGTAGCTGAGTCCTCCCAGTTACTCACCTTCTTCTTACTTTTCCCTTGGGCAGATTCAAGAAGGGAGCCCAGACAACAATCTTAGCAAGCAAAATCATCCAGAGCATGATGGCAGAACTCTTCAGCATCAGCACAAAACCGAGTCAGAAAGGGGTCTGGGGTCTATTACCTGGATCTATAGCAAAGGCTATACCATATTAAGACAGACATGACCACAGGGCCATGACAAGCATGAGGGTGATGAGAGGCAGTGAGTGAGCAGTCAGCAGCAGCATGGACACCAGGGGAGCTCCTCCTAATGGCAAGTGTCTTTGCACTGCCAAGAGGAAGGGCAAGTTTCAGTGCCTCTGGGGTTTGGGGAGAGTCTTCCCCTTCCACTGAAGGCCAAGCACAAGTACCCTCAATACCAGCCACTCTGTGGACTGACCCCTGCCAGTGGCAGCACAAAGCCCCTCTTTATGCTGTGGCTTTCACACACTAAACCCCAGCCAGCTGCCCACTTCTTGTGACTCAGCCATTGGGGGACATCTCAGGTTAATCTCAGGTTTAGAACAGCTTTCAGGGGCCACAAAGACCAGGGGCGCATATCAAGGGCTGATGACAAAACATTGACCGAGGTAGCTTGATGCTCCATGTCTTGCAGAGCATCTCATGGTGAGACAGAGCCCACAGGATAATTTGGACTGGAGATGAGGCCAAGTCTGGGGACGGGGAGCCTAACGATGACTGTCCTTTCCTCTCTCCCTGTCCCATGCTTTTCTAAGCTTAAGCTTCACTCCCCATCCACTCCCTAACCAGAATGCCCTTCCAAAGCCAGGGCTCCCCTCTGGCAAGGTTGTGAGGCTGGGTCTTCTCTCAATTTCTCTGACCTCAGGAGGAGCTTTGAGATGGGGGAAGATGAGAGTCGGAGGGGAAACAGAGACGTTATCTTACCTAACTGCCTAAATGTGGTATGAAGCCTCTGCACAACTTCCCAGCCTCATCCCACAACAAGCCTCCCGTTCCCCCATCACTGTGGAGGGCGGGGCAGGCATGTCACAGGCAGCCCCAACAGGATCCCCATGTAGCAAAGAACCAAAGGCTTTTACCAACAGTCCTGAGTGACCTCAGAAGTGGTTCCTCCAGCCCCATCAAGTCTTGGATGACTGCAGCCCTGGCCAACATCTTGATCGCATTGGCCTCATGAGGGACCCTGAGCCAGAACTACCCAGCCAAGACATTCCCAGCTTCCCAACCCACAGACACCCTCAGAAACAAACAGAAAAAAAAAATGGTTGTTGTTTTAAGCCACTAAGTTTGGGGTAAGATGTAATACAATGAATAACTAACCCTGACCCTAACCCCTTCACACGCATTCAGAGAAGAGGAGCTGATAACCGGTTTGCGGGTCCCAAGAGGACAGTGGGCAGCATGTTCTGTGGACAGTCACCATGCATTTTTAAATGGTCCTCACATGAGACTCGCTCTTATCTCTTCTTTTTCTATGCCTGTCATTGATCTGTTAGTCAGCCTGGGGTCTTCTCTTCCTGCCTGCCCCACCCTAATCCCATTCAGACAAGAGATTTTAGGGGTCTCCTCTCATGGTATCTGTGCTGCAGAAATGAGGCTGCAAGCTGCATGGAAGAGATTAGTCTCTAGCTACATCTTGGAGCTTGGACACATTTTGTCTATGGTTTCAGGAAACTGCTTTTGCTGGCTGAGATTGCTGTCTGGGCTCCCTTCTTGAATCTGCCCAAGGGAAAAGGAATCCCTTAAATCTCAAGCTAAATCCATATGGCCCAGCCCAGATTATCAGAGAGCCCTTCACTAAGAGATCAGACACCAGCATAGCAAATAATAAAGCAGTGGCTTGACTTTCCACTTGTTCTTCTCCTTGGGAACCTCATGGGGAGATGTAGCTGTGCTATGAGACAGAATTCCAGCCTTAACCACATCTTTAGAATGAAGCTTTCCAGCTAGTGATCTATGAATAGGTTTTGGATGTGCACCAAGTGTAACTCCCTCCAGCTTTGAAGCATTGATCCCCTCAGCTTTTGGAACCACTGGGTGAGGCCTGGAACAGTCAGACGTTAAGCCAATCACCTTAGGCTGTGGGTAATCTCATGGAATTTCTTCAGTTGACTGTACAGATGTTAACAATTTCCATCAGTGCCAAGGTGTGAAAAAAAAGAATAGTGAACAATACTGAACTCAGCAAATATATTTAAAAAATTCCTCCCTACTCTTTACCTTCATCCAAGTCAAAATGATAAAAACACAAAACAGTATAGGGTCAAGAACAAAAACCCAACCACCAGAAACCTCCCTCTGGAGGGACAAGAGCCATTCATCAATACTGGGTGTGTTTATCTAACTACTGCCCCACCCAGATATTTTTCCATCATTCCACGTCTCTCTATCTTATCCACATGGATATCATGACATATCTTATCAATCACTTTGCTGATTTTGTAGTCCCATGTGAATTAATGGATTAAGGTAATCATCATCAGTGGCTGATAACAATACATAAAAAGAGAATCATCCAAGCATCATGTACCCCAAGGGAATAGGGAACACTACCTATGAAGAGGGATGCCAGTTATTTGGCGACTGTCTCTCAGCTCCAAGCCCCCTTCTCTCCTTGCCCTTTCTATGCCTTGCTTTGAGATGCTGGGCCCAGCACACTGCAAAACACCTTTATCTTTTGCTGACTGATTCCATGTTTGGTTCTGCCAGTAAGAACACTGAGGAGAGACGGGAAGGCAGGAGAAGAGACTTGCTACTTCCCACTGGCTTACTAGATTCTGTTGTCATTGCTCCAGCATTAAGCCTTCATCATGACACTTCAGGGGACCCAGCAACTGCTGAGTGGTGTCCCCTGGGATGTCAGACCCAGCTACGCAGTTCTAGATTCTGTCTTCCCACTTCTTCCCTTTGCCCCTCATTCGTAGAGATGGTGATGGATTCTGGAGTTGTTACCTCTTCTGAAATGCCCAGTGTAGTTTTTTCCCCTACTGAGCTCCTAAATGGTGTGGGACTCTGCCAAATACAAACAAAAGAAAAAGAAAGAAAGACATTGAACCTGAATCTGATCAAATTTCTAGATCTAACCATTCATTTAAGCCATTAAGTTTTGTGGTGATTTGTTATGCTATAATAAACAACTAATACAGGTGAGATCAGGGTACCATAGTTATGATATTTGATGCACAGTAAAATACTTATATAATGTCTATGATTAGCTTCAAAATAATGGGGAAGGTAAAAGGAAAGAATGTGGTTGGGATTGAAACACTCTTTCAAGATGAAGCCCTGAGCAGAAAGCTGATGAAGTTGAAGGATGGGTACTGCTATGGTTTCAATTTGTCTCCCAAAATCCATGTTTTGGAAATTTAATTCTCAATGCCACAGTATTGGGAGGTGGGGCCTAAGGACAGGAGATTAGGCCAAACCTTGCACGGCGAAACATATGCTAATCTGTACACTGTATATCAGAATCCACATTCTTTCTCCTTTTGAGAAGTGGAATGGTGTACATATATCTTCAGGAACACTTCTTGCTCTGCCTTCTCAAGGACAGAGAGTGGCTCAAGGATCTTCCCCACAAGATGATCTGTGGATCATGAGTTCTCTGCTCAGTGTGGAGCACAGAACTCACTTAGAGCAGCCAGGTGAGGGCAGATGACTTTTTTCATACATCTAATGCTTTCATAGCATATTTGTACTTACCTTGTCAGTCCAAAGAGAAGGGAGAGAAGCAAAATAGGAGATGAAGAATTATGTTCTGTCCACCACTGAAAGGTAGTATGCCATCTTCCCCAAGTTCTGCTGGGCCTAAAGCATAGATATATCAGGAAAAGAAACAAAAGAAAGAGAAAAGCAACAGGAAGTGCAAAATGTGAGGCAAAATGAATGAAATAGGGCAAAGAAGAGTCATTTGATATTGATAAAAGTTGTGATCAATAATGAAGTCAGAGTCCAGTTCATGAACATTAATGGACCAGAGAACATAGCATCAAAATACATTAAATTCTTAGATGTGTGAGGAGAAATTGACAGAAACTCAATTATAGTGAGAAACCAGCATACTCATTTCAATCCATGTAAGATCAAGAAGGCAAACTTAAAGTAATAAGGGAAACAAGCTGTATCATTAATAGCCGAATTAGCAGATATTGAACTTATATTCTATAGAGACTATCTTTTGTGTCAAGTGTTTGGGCAACACTTGCGAAATTGATCACATGCCAAATCACAAATAAAACCTTATTCAAAATCAGTCAATTCTAAGTAACCAAGAGCAGTAAAATTAGAAACAAATAATATAAGCTTATTATTTACGTGAATAAATTTGTTAAAGTCATTATTTATGGGTTTTTAAAACACACACACATTTTAACCCAAGAAGGGGGTCTTTTAGTCTCAATTTTCTTTTTGCTGTAAAATTCGTAAACTTTCCTTTCTGTTATCCTTGAAATTTTAGGAAGCCTTAGCTCACTTGGCCTTCTGATTTTCTGACCCTGCCTATCCACACCCAACTGAGTGGTCATTCAGTGTTTTGACCACCAGATTATCATTTTGCCATTTTTTTTTTTCGGCAACAGTACTTGTTTTCTTCTGGGAAGCCAACCTCCCCACTACTCTCAATGTGTGAAGAGGTCTGGTATTAACTACACCCTGGGCCGAATGCCACTGGTGAGCACGTAATGCCAACCTCATCAATAAAGTATTGTATCCCCGCCCACAGTGATTAGTTCAGGAATGACCACATGTCCCAATCCAGCCAATCAGACATTTGCTAGGACCACTGGGCTCAACTGGTACTGGACTTGAACTTGGGAGCATGTTAAGTCTGGAATAGTGGCTGCCATCTACCTGGCTATCATAAGAGGAGTTCCTATGCATGTTCTTAAGAATGGAGCCAGCATAGGCTCCTGTGCCATGTCCCGTGGCATCATTTGAACTCCTAAATCAAGCCATACCTGAAATAAGACCTGCCTCTAGACTTCAATAAATTCCCTTTTGGTTTAATCCAGGTTGAAAGGAGTTGTCACTCGTAACAAAGAAACTCCTAGCCACACTAGTATCTTTTCTTTCCATTTTGAGCCTGTCCCTTTAAACCTGATGTCTTTAGACACTATTCTCTTTTTAATACATACTCAGTTATTTGGTTTGAATGGTCCAAATTGCATTTTTCTTGGAACTTCCCATCCCTTTCTTGAGCAGTCTTCCCCTCTAGAGTGTCATGCCATGGATCATTTGTATCGTTCACCAAATACATCTATCATTCCTGTCATTTTGGGGGATGTTTAAAATCTTTCTCATTCTAAGTCAATGCTTTCTGACTGTGGATTGACTCAGATTCCTTTGCAGCTACTGTTTTTCTGAGAGAGGGAAGGATGGACAGACAAACAGACAGACACCAACAGAAAGGCCAGGATACAAATGGTTGTCAAGCCTCCCCTGAGGCAGAAGTCCTGCCAGGGTTTTTCACATATCTTTTCACATCTTATCTTCAGCAACCCCATGCAATCAATTTTAAAATGCCCATCTTAGACATGAAGGCAGCAAGTCACGTCCCCAAATTACTACGAAGGGAGAAGAAGCCAGAGGTCAAAAGCAGGTCTGCCTCATCTCAAAGCCTTTCATTATTCTTGTGTCACCAAATTGCCCTCTTGGGTCAATTGTTTCTTCAGGAGCAGACCCTAGGACACCCCCTGGATAAAATTCTGGGAAGCAGCCCATCTGGGGAGGTGGAAGCTCAGGGGAAGGGTGACAAGGTTGACTTAGTTTCCCCAGAGAAGAAACAAGAATTCTGAGATCCAGATGCGCCCATTATAGGCCTCTGGGAGTGTGACCAGGTTGTCCTGTCCTGCCTCCATCAGTGTGAGGCTGAGAAGGCACCAAGCCTTCTGGCTGGCACCTTACAGGAACACTGAGGAGACCAGGGAGGAGGCGTCACATGTGACCTCTGGCCCTGTGTCTTCACATCCCAGAAGGCCCTCCCCAGACCTGACCATGGAAGAAACTGCCCACTCTAGACGGATGTCACTACCATGCCCCCTGCTCCCTCCTAGGGAGCTGGAGCCATTGGCAGGGCATCCATCACCAGCTGCAAGACAGAGCCCACCTTCAGGCCAGTGGTCCCAAATCCAAAGTGCGGCTCTTCACTGTTCTCTGTTTGAATAAGGACTCTGGGAAACACGCCCAGTGAGACACATTTGTGGAGAGAGGAGCACTTCCTTGTGGGGAGACGGGCTGTCTCAGGATATTTCATGTAATGACAATTGAAGTTGGAGCTTGACACATGGGAGTTTGTTTTTTTAGTCCCAAAGATGCTATTGTCAGCAGAATGACTCTTCTAGAATCCCCCAGGTAGATCCCAAGCCCTGCCCACCTCCCAAAAGCATGGAGTCCACAACCCCACCCAAACAATCTTATGTGGTCATGCTTGCTCCGATGCCTATAAGAGAGCTGCCTCCTGTTGGACATCTATTAGAACAGATAGGTTACATGTATTATTTTTAACGTGAACATTTTGCTGCTGTCCCCATTTCACTTATGAAGAAACTGAGGCTCAGAGAAGTCAAGAAATCCATACTCTCTTGGTCTCTCTTAGCAGTTGGGCCACTGGAACCAGCTATACACGTGCAGTGGGCGGTGGATGGTCCATGCCCCTTTAAATCCATGTACTCACCTCACAGGTCTTATGTGGATATTTGTCTACCCCACTAGACAGAAGCACCTCTAGGAGCCGGATCCAGTTCCAATTCCAAGAGGGCAGAATAATAGACATTGGAGACCAGGGAGGGTGGGAGAATGTGGAGGTGAGGGGTGAGAAATTACTTAATGAGTGCGATGTACACTTTTCTGGTGATGGTTACACAAAAAGTCCAGACTTCACCACTATGCGATATATACATGTATCAAAACTGCACTTGCACCCCATAAATTTATAAATATATATATATGTATTTTTATGTATGTATATATGTATTTTTTTTTCTGCGACAGAGTCTTCCTCTGTCACCCAGGCTACAGTGCAATGTGTAATCTTGGCTCACTGCAACCTCTGCCTCCTAGGTTCAAGGGATTCTCATGCTTCAGCCTCCCAAGAAACTGGGATTACAGGCACCCACCACAACACCTGGCTAATTCTGTGGGTGTCTGTGTGTATTTTTAGTAGAGACAAGGTGGCCATGTTGTCCAGGCTGACTCAAACTTCTGGCCTCAAGTGATCCACCCACCTCCACCTCCCAAAGTGTAGGGATTACACGCATGAGCCACTGCACCCGGCCAAATATGGATTTTTAAACAAACTGGGTCTGACCCCATCCCCCATGTGTCCCCCATTCTCCACATGGTGCTTTGAGTAGATGCCTAGGAACATATTCCATAGTTGTGGCTGCCCATGATCCCTTGAGGGGCTTTTCATTTGGGGACATTCCTCTTGATGGGTTCTGCCTCCCTGAGTATATTTTAACCCAATCCTCTGGCTCCCTGGCAGTTAGCAGGCAGGCATGTGACCTGGATCTGCCATTCAGATGCAGCCCTGAGAGTCCCTGATTCTCATGAGGGAACAGACGTGGCACATCTGTTTTGTGATCCAGCTTTCAGGGTGGCTGTAGTTACAAGGTCAACTTCCAGTGACAGAAGAGACCATGGTTACAGCGACGTAGGCTTCTGACACCCAGTTCAAGGGCAGCTACTGCAGCAGCAACAATGTCCCCATCGACCCAATTCCATGTCATGGTCCTGAGACTTCCTCCTGGAATCCTCACCTCAAGTCTCTTTCTCCTGCCCTTCCAATGACTCTGTGTAATCTGATACATTTTAATGAATCCCTTTTCAGTTAAAACTAGCCAAAATGAATTCCAATATTTGCAACTCAGTAAATATTTGGCAAATAAATGTTTTTAAATGACTTCTCTCCCTGGAGTCTGGAGAGGAAGCCCCATTACACGGCACACTTAACTGCTTCTTTTCTCTCCACCTCCTGATTACTGCCCCCCTCCAGGTCCCTCAGGCAGCCTCCATCAATGCAAGCAGGATGCAGCCCAAGGTATTGTGGTAACTGGACCTTTGCCTGGCATATGGCAGACCCAAGTACGCATTTATTGATTGCTGTATTTTTCTCTACTCTGTTATACCCCTGAATGCCCTGAGCTGCTTTTGGAAATTCTCACCTATTTAATTATTTTCATGTCTCAGGCACTGGCCAGAGGGCTTTACAACTATTAGTTCATCTAATCTTCACAGCACCTCATAAGGTCATCTCATCAGCATCTTGCAGCTGAGATACTGAGGTTTGGAGACATGAGGCAGCTTGTTCATGCTCACAGCCAGGAAGTAACAGGGCGGGGTTTGAACCCAGGACTATTTGGCTCCAAATCTGAACATCCTGACCACTTCCCTCTGCTGCATAAAAGGAGGTGGGCTTCTGGCCACAGGATGTCCAGGCACTGGCAGGGGGCAATAGTCAATCCCCTTAAGCCCTAATGGAGAATCGGGGATTAACAGGCAGGCTGGAGCCGCCAATGCTCTGCTTCACAACAGGAAGACTTAAAGCTGTTATGCTTTTCTGTTTTAAAAACAAATGTTGAGGACTTTCTGGCCACCTGTGACTATTGTCTAAGGCCACACAATGGTTTGGATATTCTCCACTGCAGAGGGCTTTCCCAGACTCACCAGGATGTGAGCAACAGCAGTCTTCTTTTTTGAAGGGTCCCTGTTATGGACTGAATGTCTGTATCCCCTGCAAATCCATGGGTCAAAATCCTAGTCCCCAATGTGATGCTATTAGAAAGTGGGGCCTTTGGAGATACTTAGGTTGTGGGTGGAGTCCTCAGGAATGGGATTAGTGCCCATATAAAAGAGACCCCAGAGAGCTCTCTTGACATCTTTCTGCCATCTTTCTTGAGTTGGGTTCAAGTGAGGCAGGTGGACCACTTGAGGCCAGAAGATACATAGCACAAGAAGAGGGTGACTGCAGCTGGAAAAGGGCTCTCCCCAGCCCCCACCATGCTGGCACCCTGATCTCAGAGTCCCAGTCTTCTGAACTATGGGAAATCAACCTCTGTCATTTATAAGCCACCCTGTTTAGAGCACTGTGTTACAGCAGCCCAGATTGACTAAGACAGTCCTCCTCTCCAGGCCTTTCACCCCTTCCTCAGCTTCCAGGGAGGGGCCGCCAGCAGGAAGCTGGAACTTTCTAGAACACAGGTATGGAGTACATGCTGTCAGGGAGATCTCATCTGCTCTGACCAAGTGATGGTCCTGGAAGACTGGAGGAGGCAGGAGAGGCAAGCTCAGGTGGGCAGCTGATGTTCTTCCTCACTACACGTAGCACTCACCAACCACCTGTGCAGGGGACTCTGACAACAGACTGTCTGAGGAGGGGCAGAAGCTTTGCTCAAGGACTGTTAGTGTGAACCCTGACCCCGCCCTGGAGATACACAAATGAAGTGTTGGGAATGCATAACTTCTGCAGCAAAGGCCAAGGTAGGGATTCATTTGGGTGTGGGCATCCAACTCAGAGGTTGTAAAGTGAAGGCCAGTAGGCTGAATCCAATCCCTGTAGTTTTTTTCAGCTTGCAAAGTGCTTACAAAAATATATTACCTAATTATTTCCCACAGTTTTGATTGAGTGATTTCACAGTGTAGTGAGCCATGGGACCTGAAGAGTATGAGGCTCTTTAAGAGTAGAAAGACTATTTAGTCAAATGAAGTATACATATACACCATTTTCAGAAATTCCTTCCTGGATATAGATCCTAGAGAAATTATCAAGCAGATCTATAAAGAGAGTGTGAGGCTTTCCATTTTGGGACTCTTTGCAGGGGGAAAGGGGGAAGAGGAGATTTAGAGGCAAGCTAGGCCTCCCACGCTAGGAGATGGTTAAATGTGGTGGATACAGCAATTAGGAGCAACAGCCTAGAGGCACATACAGTAACCTGGATAGATCATTACAAACGTAATGCTGAGAGAAAAAAATCAAATTAGGTCTTAAGCACTATACAATGTATACAAATGAAAATACATGTACATAAAATCATGGACCACTGATGTGAAGGTCAGAAACAAAAAGAGGCTTAATCAATTCCGAGTTTGCTGAGACTGACCCAAAAGAGCCTGGAGCCCCACAACTTAGAGATCAGGGGAGAGGAGTCAAAGGAATAAAAGAGAAAAGCCCTAACATTTTTCTCCATGTGAGGCCAACAGTGGATCCAGATTCCGTGGGCCAAGCTGTCAAGGGCTTTGACTAGGCCCTTTTGTCGAAGGATCTTTAGGGTATTGCTTTACCAGCCAGAAACCTCTGTGACCAGTGCTGCCCTTGCCTGAGTTTTGCTTGGGCCTCTCGGCTCGTTCCACCCACTCAGTCTGGCAGTCTGCACTCAGCTCACACTACCAGCCTGGATCCCATGCTTTCCAAGGGCAAGCTAGGCATAGAGTGGTGAGGGGTACATACACAAGCAAAGACAAGGTCTGGCCACTGTGCACAGCCAGGCATGCTAGCTGCAGCAGGGCAGGCAACTCCAGGCACCAGCATGCATGCTGGCTCCCTGCAAGGCTGTGGCTGGACCAGACATACCGCAAGCAGCTTCCACTGTGGGCACTGGGGAACATGGTGGCACCCAGAAGCTTGGAGATTCCAGGAACTACAGAGCCTCTAACAGGGTATCACAGTCCTGACTCAGGGAGCTCCTAGGTCTGGACTCCCCAAAGAGCTGAGTTCTTCTCTCTTCCTCATTGCCCACAACATGGTGAATGGGGAGGGCACATTGCAGCCCTGTTTGTGCTACATCTCTTTCAGTCCCACTATTCAGCAGGTCCCAACTTCTTGTCCCACATCCAGGAAGAATGAGGTACACAGACAACTGGAGGATGAACAAGGTGAAGAGGTGCTTTATTGAATGATAGGACAGCTCTCAGGAGACCTGAAGTAAGTAGCTCCTATCTGCAGGCAGATTATCCCATCAAGTCTGAAGCCCTCAGCAGAGGGGAGACCCAGAGTGGGTAACTCCTGTCTGCAGGCAAGTTGTCCTGATGTCTCTGAAGCCCTCAGCAGAGGGGAGACCTGGAATGGATATCTCCTATCCACAGGCAGGTCATCGCATCATCTGCCCAAGTCTGGCTGAATCCGGGGTTTTTATGGGCTTCAGAGGGGAGGAAGTGTGTGCTGATTGGTCCATGTGTGGCCATGGGTGAACCTGGAAAAAGCACCGTAAATTCTCACTCTGGTTAGTGAGAACTGGCAGCCCAGCCCCCATGCTTTAGGTCATACCTCACTTGAAGGTGGGGCTTCACCAGGTACCTGCCCCTTTCCACTCAAGACCCTGTCTGTCTCCTGATGCCATCAACCTGCCATCCACAGTGCCCAGAGCACCCAGGTTGTTCATGCCTAGGGGCACCTGCAGGCCCGTGCCTCACTGTCCTCAGTATCGCCACCCCCACCAGCCTCCTTCCCATGCTTGTCATTACCCAAAGTCCAGACGGGGTGAGGCAGTAGGGAGCTGACATGTCAGCGCTGCCCCAAACATGTGCACACCAAGCCAGGTTGCAACAGCACGTGGGCTACGCCTCAACTTTGCTCTAAAATCACAGCAGGCTCAAGAAGCAGGCACTTCTGAGCCTGCAGGGGTAGGGGAGTTTCCCGGGTCCCCAGGAGTGAAAGGATCCCCAGATCTACAGCTGCAGCTGTGCCTGGAAGGGCAAGGCTCCCATTCTTCCAATTTGTAAAGGGGTGGGGCTTCTGCTGCTCCCAGTTCCCACTGACTCCATGGAGCACACAGCCCCAATACACCTCCCCTGCTGCAGCTGGCATCATACTGTCCGCTCCTGGTGAGCTGCTACTGCCATCACCTTCATTCATTCATTCCTACATATAGGACTCACCTCTCAGCTTTCTGGGGTGGGTTTAATGACTAAATACATATAAAACCCCTGCAACCATCCCTGGCACAAAATAAGCACTCAACAAACTCAACTGTAACTCAGCAAAAATCCACCACTGAGCACTCACCCTCTCCCCAGGATATGGGGGCCCCACAGAGAATAATTTGTGATCTCTGCCCTCAAAAAGCTCAGAGCCTAGTGGGAAGTTAGCAAAGTGAGCAGGCCTTGGAGGTAGCATGATGGAGGGTGAGCCTGGGCATGGAAAGTACATTCAGGAACACGCAGAGTCAGCTAGGCTTGCTGGAGCAGGGACACCTGAGCTGAGACCCCACAAAGGGTCTGAGAGATTCTGTCACAACTTGTTGGCAGGTTTTGGGCTGAGTTTTGGTTTACTAATCAATGAAAGAAGAGTGAGCTCTATTTGAGGGGTTTGCTAAATTTAGGGGTTCCATGAATATGCCTAAGGAGTGACATAATATCCAGAGAGGACAAGCAAGGCTGAAGGCCCCCAGTCCAGCCCAAATTTACCTTTTGTAATGAGCACAGAAATATGCAGCCCAGATTTCGGGGAATGGCTTTGGTGCTCCTGCTGCTGGGAGCACCCCTTCAGTATCCACCTCAGCTGCAGAGAGCCACCACTAGAGGTCACACCCTTCCCAGGGTGGCCTCCATCCAGTGACTGACCAAAGAGGTAGGGAGGATAAAGGCCTGGCCATCTTGGTCCATTCAGACAATGCTGACGGGCCAGTGCTAGCTGCAGAGCTCCCCTTGGGGCTGGCCTGGGACGATCCCGGGCCTGCTTCCCAGCTTGATTTCTTTCTCTGCCCAATTCTGCTTCCTCCCCTCCCTTCCACAGATCTTCATCCCACAGACACTCTTTGATAGACACCCTGCACACTAACCTTTGTCTCAGCAGAGCCTACTTCCAAGAGAACTCAATTTGAAACGTTATTTTTTATACTAAGATTTGCTTAGAAAATGGCAAAAAACAAAATATCAATGTTATTTGTTATTGAATAGTTATTAATTATTAGTCTGATGCCAAAAACCAACAAACTTCAAAACAGGCAGACTCAATTCCCCTCTGGCCAGAACATTCAATGAGAGTAACCAAAGAGTCATTCATCAAACACCACTGACCATCAGAGTGAGGTTTCAAAACGCTGAGTTGAGTACATGCGGGTCTGGATGTTACGTAACAGTTTCAGTGTTATTTTCTATAATAGGCTCTCTTGGGTGTTTCCTAGGGATTTTATTTATTAATCCTCCTCACAATAACCAGGATTACTGATTTATGTGTGCAAAATTAGGCTTTTTCCCGTTTTGTTTTGTTTTCTCCACATTCATATCCTACTGGAATCCTGCTTCCTCACAATGTCAGCTTTACACAAAAAACTGAACAGGTTCACAACCACCTGGATCCAAAGCAGGATTTGGTTGTGAAAAAGAAAAGAAAAGGAACAACTCAAGGAGGTGAGGGCGAAATAGTTCAGTTGATCTTTAAACAACACAGATGTTGGGGACACTGACCTCCTGCACAGGGGGAATCTGCATATAACTTTTGACTTCCCAGAACTGAACTACTAATAGCCTGCTATTGACTAGAGGGCTTACCAATAACATAAACAACCAATTCACACATATTTGTGTGTTACATGTATTACATATGTATTCTTACAATACAGTAAGCGAGAAAAACGAAAATGTTATTCAGAAAATCATAAGAGAAAGTATATTTACTGTCCATTAAGTGGAAGAGAATCATCACAAAGGTCTTTATCTTCATTGTCTTCACATCAGGTAGGCTGCAGGGGAGGAGAAAGAGTAGAGGTTGATCTTTCTGTCTTAGGGGTGACAGAGGCAGAAGAATTGACATATAAGTAGGCCTGCACAATTCAACCCCATGTTGTCCAAGGGTCAACTGTACTAACAGCAATCCTCATTGGTCGAGCCCTTACTAAATGCCAGGCACTAGAGCCCAGAGCTAGTAACTGGCAGCACCAACACTTGAACACACATCTTTCTGACTCCAAAGCCCAGGACATAGTTCCACCTGTGCCAGTCAAGTTGTTCTAGAAAACTCTGGAGGCAGAAGTCAAGTTCAAGCTACTATTAGCACAAGAGGTAGGGTAAGATATACTCTGGGGACCCTAGAAAAACAGGCCAGTGGAAACCAGCTGTGGTCAGAGTATGGCCTTATAATGAATCATCTTTTGAGGAGACCCTGAGGCCTTCCATGAAGTGTGGGAGCCAAGTGTCTGGAGAACCCCATGCCAGAGCGTGTCTTCAGCAGGCCTGCATGCAGGTGTCTCAGAGTTCGGGTCAGGTCCTGAGTGCTCTGACCCCATCTACCCTCCATCACAATTTTGCCCCCAAAAGGAGGAGCAGCTCTGCCTTGAAGCCCATCCCCAAGTCAGGCCACCCTGCTCCTCACAGCACTGGGTTTGCCATAGCAGCCATTTGAGGCAACTGAGATGCTTTTTTCACAAAAGAAGGGGTCCTTCACAAGGACAGAGGGAGATTGGAGGGCAGAGGAAAGGCAGGGAGGGGAGATTCCTGGAGGGGATGGCATTTGCCTTGCTTCTTTCCGAAGAGGGTAGAGGGATTTCAATCCGTTCAAAGAAGTGGGGAGCTTGGAAGGTTAGAGCAAGATTTCCAAGGCACTTATGCCTCCACACACAGAGAACATGACAACATTTGCAGGGCACGTTGGAGTAAAGTGGAGGTAATTTGAGAGCATCTACAGGAAACTGGGTGAAAAAACTATATTACTTTTTTTTACATTATATAATTTTGATAAGAAAAGTGAGTACAAAGTAATAGGGAGAGTATTACAAATTGAATATGTATAAACTTCCCAATAAAATCTTTTCAAAAAATGTAATGAAAAAGTTGAGCTTTCTTCCATGGACAGTTTTGTGTGTGTGTCAGGCTTTATGCGTGAAACGACGACATGCAATTCTTGACCAGGCTTTTTAATGATGATCTCTTCAAATTCTCCAAAGTCACTATCAACAGGAAACTTTTGTTCACACAAGTACATGATAAAAAATGTCAGACTATTTTACAACCAGTCAAAAATGTGTAACACTTGAAATTTTATTAAAAGAATCTAACAGCTCTTCCTTTTCTTTCTTTGGCAAATGTAATGTTGAAATTTCTTATGATAAAGTGAATAGATTGTGAATACAATCAAATGTTTTATATCAAGTATTTCAAAATAATGAAGAAGTTCTAATCTGCAGAATGTGTATGTATTGCTAGAGCTCTCTCCCTGTAGCTAGCAAGGATGCCACTAGAAGGGAACATCACCTGCAAATAGGTTAAAGTTGCCAATTAATAAAAAGGAGGTTTGGAGCCTTCTTCTAGAGATGCTCCATGCTAGAGACTACCCAGCTTCCCCCTTACCCCCTTCATTGGACTAGACGCTGTGCTTTCAGTCCCATCTGGTAAGGTGATCAATCATCCCAGTTAGCCTTGATCTGACAGGTTTCCAGGGATATTATTCTTTAAATGCTAAAACTGGGAAAATCCCAACCAAACCAAAATGTGTTGGTCATTGTATTAGACCATTCTCATGGGGTTGATAGAGACATAGCCGAGACTGGGAAGAAAAAGAAGTTTCATGAACTCACAGTTCCACGTGGCTGGGGAGGCCTCACAATCATGGCAGAAAGTGAAAGGCACTTCTTACACGGCCATGGCAAGAGAGAATCAGAGAATTTATGCAGCGAAACTCCCCTTTATAAAACCATCAGATCTCGTGAGACTTATTCACTATCAGGAGAACAGTACAGGAAAGACCCACCCCTTGATTCAATTGTCTCCCACCAGGTCCCTCCTATGACAGGTGGAAATTGTGGGAGCTACAATTCAAGATGAGATCTGGGTGGGGACACAGCCAAGCCATATCAGTCATCCTACAGGAAAATCTGAAGGCTGTAAGAATCAGTTCCTCACTGCACACCTGTAACCCACTTAGTGCACACCTGTAGCCCATTGATTGCACACCTGTGACCTATTCACAGAACACACCTATTGGAAAGTTCTAAATTAGAGCAATGTTTCTCAAACTTTCATGTGAACATAAATAACCAGGGGACCTTGTTAAAAGTGAAGATTCTGAACCAGTAAGTCTGGGATGGGGCCCAAGAGTTCACATTTCAAACAAGCTCCCATATGATGTAGATGATACTGGTCTGCGGATCACACTTTGAGTTACAAGGGCTTGGATACAGCACCAAGGAGACCAAGGACAACATCCATCACTGTGAGAGAAGGTTTGCAGCCAACAGCCACAGAGTAACCAGAAAAAGAGCAGAAAACAGTCACTGAAATCCACCTTCATCATTTGAAAAGTATCCATCCCCAACACTCCACAGATTAGAAGAGTTTCTCTCTGCATAGGGCAAGGGTTGCCTATGGTGACAAATTTCCTATCGTGCCTCCAGACCAGTCTGAGTAAAGATCAGTTGACAGCTGGTCCCTGGCATAGGTCATTTCACAGAGTTTCAGGCAATGGTAAACTCAGCAGGCAAGGTCTCTGACCTCATGATGTTTCCAACAACTCATCAGGCAAAGCAATGTGCTTGTATGTTCATTCACCCTCTCGTTTATTCTTTTATTTACCAAATAGTGTCTGAGGACCTAATATGTGCCAGGTAATAGGGAAGAACACCAAGCATGACCCCAGTCCTTCTGTTTTTGGTAATACTAAATGCTAGATGCCTGGAATGACTCTCCTATTGAAAATAACTTTAAAAATCTAGACAAAATAATAAAAGGTCTTCTTAAATGTAAGATAAGCTGGCAAGAAGGTAAATAATGCCCAAGACCAAAAAAATTGCAATGAAGGTAGAAACCGGAAAGATAATGGGAGAAAAGCAGCTGATGTTTTCCCAGAGGACATTTACTGGACCCTGTCAAACAGAGGTTTGCTATTCCCAGGATCCTAGCACTCAGGGAAGTGCTAACAAAGCCCAGGATCTTCCCAAGGTGGAAAGTCTAATAAGAGTTTCTCCCATGGAATTGCTGAGACTTCCACGGGGTTTGCTCTCAGGTTTAGGACTAAGGAGAAATCTCAAGAACTCCTTCACGAGGACTACAGAGAAAATTGATTCTCTTAAAACTAAACACTAAGTGGAAAATTGAAAAAGTAACTACTAAAAATCTAGAACAATTAGCCACTTCTTTTATATATATATTGCATTTTAGGTTTTGGGGTACGTGTGAAGAACATGTAAGATTGTTGCATAGGTACACACATGGCAGTGTGGTTTGCTGCCTTCTCCCCATCACCTATATCTGGCATTTCTCCCCATGTTATCCCTCCCCAACTCCCCATCCCCCACTGTCTCTCCCCTAGATTCCCCCCTACAGATCCCAGTGTGTGATGCCCCCTCCCTGTGTCCATGTGTTCTCATTGTTCCGACAGCCACCTACCTATGAGTGAGAACATGTGGTGTTTGATTTTCTGTTCTTGTGTCAGTTTGCTAAGAATGATGGTTTCCAGGTTCATCCATGTCCCTACAAAGGACAGGAACTCATCGTTTTTGATGGCTGCATAATATTCCATGGTGTATATGTGCCAATATTTTCCCAATACAGTCTATCATCAATGGGCATTTGGGTTGGTTCCAGGTCTTTACTATTGTAAACAGTGCTGCAATGAACATTCGTGTGCATGTGTCCTTATAATAGAACAATTTATAATCCTTTGGATATAGATCCAGTAAGGGGATTGCTGGGTCAAATGGAATTTCTAGTTTTAGGTCCTTGAGAAATCGCCACACTGTCTTCCACAGTGGTTGAACTAATTCACATTCCCACCAGCAGTGTAGAAGTGTTCCTTTCTCTCCACATCCTCCCCAGCATCTGTTGTCTCCAGATTGTTTAATGATAGCCATTCTAACAGATATGAGATGGTATCTCAATGTAGTTTTGATTTGCATTTCTCTAATGACCAGTGATTATGAGCATTTTTTCATATTTTTTTGGCCTCATATATGTCTTCTCTTGTAAAGTGTCTGTTCATCTCCTTCGCCCACTAGTTTGTAAGCCAATTTCCTACTATCTGGGTTGTTTAAGACCCCACAAGCCAAGAATTTAATTTGGAGTAGTTGCTGCCTCAGTGCCCCCAGGGGCCTGGCAGAAGCAAAAGATAAATACTCTTAGGAAGAACCCTCTACAATCCTAGCTCTCACAAATTTCCATAAGCAGAAATTAAAGGAAAATGGGCTACTTGCAGTACAAAACTAACCAAAACACACAAGGAAATGAGGCATCATAAAAAGAAGCAGCAGAAACAATGACTGTAGAACAGACCTGCAAAGGACACAGGTACTACACTTATTGAATAAATTATGACATAATTATGTGTATCACTTTTTTTTTTTTTTTTTGAGACGGAGTTTCACTCTTGTTACCCAGGCTGGAGTGCAATGGCATGATCTCGGCTCACCGCAACCTCCACCTCCTGGGTTCAGGCAATTCTCCTGCCTCAGCCTCCCGAGTAGCTGGGATTACAGGCACGCGTCACCATGCCCAGCTAATTTTTTTGTATTTTTAGTAGAAACGGGGTTTCACCATGTTGACCAGGATGGTCTCGATCTCTTGACCTTGTGATCCACCCGTCTCGGCCTCCCAAAGTGCTGGGATTACAGGCTTGAGCCACTACGCCCAGCCCGTGTATCACTTTTTATAAAATAAAAAATACACTTTGAAATACATGCAGGGAACAAGAAAAGAAACAGTAAAGAATAACCAAGCAACATTGAAAAAGTAAAAGATAACTTCTAGGAATGAAAAAC